ACACACCTTTGCTCCAACTCTACCCATTCAGCATCTTTCATGTCATTTGGTTGCCCTTCTTTCTTTCCTAGCAAGGGGCGCATTAAACCTTACTGCACAAGGAGATCTTTCATCCTTTTTTGCCATTGCGTGAAACTAGTCTTTCCATCAAACTTCTCAATTGAAAAATTCATAGAGATAGTAACTTTCAACATCCTTATTTAATCTTGAATTTTACCGAACCCGAAGCTTTGATACCAGTTTGTTATGGAAATTGCCAAGCAACAACAAAGATAAAACTTAGAGAAATTAAGCAAACAGAAAAACACAAAAATTTACGTGGTTTGACCTCTTGCCTACGTCCACGGAGTGAAACTATTCTTATATTATTGAGAAATTACAGTACAATAAATTGACCTCTATGGCTCCCCAAACCAACCCAAGATTCTTTACACACTATTTCTCAATAACCTCCCAAGAACACTCACCCAAATCACTCTAGCTTCACCTAGAACGAAAGATAGAGTTACAAAGTGTCCCTTCTCTAGAGCTCTCAAAACATTATTGGCAATTCTAAAGCTTAGAAATCCACCTTTATAATATAAAAGTCCAAAGTAGAATGTGATTAGGACTCTATGTGAAATAAGAAGTTTAAAACCATACAACTACTTAATGTTGTACATAAACAAAAGTTTTAATCAAATAAGATCTAGAATTTTAATCAACCTAAAACTCAACAGTAAACAACCTACCAGTCGATGATATTGCTCAAGATCAGCGCAAAGGTCACTAAAGTCGAGTGAAAGCTTGAGATATCAATGCAAAGCTCATTAAAATCGAGTGAAAGCTTGTGCTATTGCTCTATGGGAAAATTGGTTAGCTTGCAACCTATGAGACCACTTTTAGCTAAGATATCAAGAACATACTTGCATTGGCTTAATGCAATACTTGTTGGAGAATGTGCCGCATCAATTCCTAAAAAGTATTTAAGTTTGTTAAGATCCTTGATGTGAAATTTTGCATTAAAATAATGTTTTAGTTTAGAAATGCGATTGGAATCTATTCCTCTAATGATGATATCATCAACATATATGAGAACTGCCACAAAAGATCCTTCACTGTGAGTGAAGATGAACAAAGAGTGATTTGCATTTGATTTCTGAAAATCGATGGCAAGAAGAGAAGTGGTAAACTTGTGATACCAATTTTGAGATGCTTGATGAAATCTATATATAGATTTCCATAAACGACAAACCCGTTGCTCCCTTTGTTTAGGAAACACTTATGGAATCTTCATGTAAACTTCTTCCTCCAAGTTGCCATATAAAAAGGCATTATTCACATCTAGTTGATGTAATTTTGAATGCCTAATTGAAGCAAGTACCAACAAACAACATACGATGACTAATTTGGCAACGAGAGCAAATGTCTCATAAAAATCAACACCTTCAATTCGAGTGTAACATTTAGCAACAAGACGTGCCTTGTAGCACTCAATACTTTTATCTGGATGATATTTGATTTTGTAAACCCATTTTGAATTGATAGCCTGTTTACCGGGGGTAAAGGTAGTAAAGTCCAAGTATTATTTGCTTCC